GGAGTTGGAGTGCACGGAGCGGCGTGTGTGTGTGTGCATACGTTCGTTACATGTCGGATACGGATGCGCATTGGTAACGTGCCGCACAGGGCTATACTGCGAGCACGGCGTTTGATTGACGATGATGTGCGCACGTATGCTCGCAGCGTGGGAGCGCGGCGCGAGGCTGTAACAGTAGGGGCGTCGCGTTCGAATGCCGGCGAAACCGTAGCGAGTAATAGGGAGGTGGGGTAACGTAAACGGAATAGGGGATGCAGGCGGGAGGGACCCCGGGGGCCAACGGCCCCCACATAGTGCTTAGCGTACTGCCTGTGTCTATGTGTGTGTGTGTGTGTCTGTGTGTGTGTGTCTGTGTGTGTGTCTGTGTGTGTGTGTCTGTGTGTGTGTGTCTGTGTGTGTGTGTCTGTGTGTGTGTGTCTGTGTGTGTGTGTGTCTGTGTGTGTGTGTCTGTGTGTGTGTGTCTGTGTGTGTGCGTGTGTGGTGTGTAGGAGGAACGGTAGTGTAGTGCTTAGCGTGCTGCCTGTGTGTGTCTGTGTGTGTGTGTCTGTGTGTCTGTGTGTGTGTGTCTGTGTGTGTGTCTGTGTGTGTGTCTGTGTGTGTGCGTGTGTGGTGTGTGGGGAGCGGTAGTGTAGTGGTTAGCGTGCTGTCTGTGTGTCTGTGTGTGTGTGTCTGTCTGTGTGTGTGTTCTGTGTGTGTGTCTGCGTGTGTGGTGTGTGGGGAGCGGTAGTGTAGTGGTTAGCGTGCTGTCTTTGTGTCTGTCTGTGTCTGTCTGTGTGTTTCTGCGTGTGTCTGTGTGTGTGTGCGTCTGTGTGTGTGAGGAGCGGTGGGTGTAGTGGTTAACGCTACGCTGCGCTACCAACCCGGCGAACCGAGTTAGATTCCCGCTCATGGCCACCACCGATCAAGATTATTTGAACCTCACATAGGTCGACTCAGCCTCAAACGAGTAACTGGTGTGGCGTATTAACATCGCCACTGGGGAGACAAAGGCGGCCGGCCGTGGTGGATACAAGTCCCGGGCGAAGCCGGGTAGTACAGCTAGTCTATATATATAAAATCGTTCATGTCTGTGTGTCTGTGTGTGTGTGTGTGGACTGCACTTTCATTGGACGGCGGTTGCCCCTGGCAACGGCTAGCCACGCCTTCGCCGCTTTCATTGGACGGCGGTTGCCCCTGGCAACGAGTAGCAACTTTTTCCGCGGGGTGGACGCCATTTTTAATAGCGCGGGGGGGGGGGGGGGGGGGGGACCGGCACCCGTACCCAGCGTTCGCCGGGTGGGAAAATCAGGCAAGGCGGGAGGCTCTGCACGGTGCTAGGCCTCGACACCCAACACGCCACTCTGCGGTAAATTCATACAAATTTCACGTCCTCTACAGAGTGGCGAGGGAGGCAGAGTGGCGAGGGAGGCAGAGTGGCGAGGGAGGGACTCAGCCTCAAAACGAGTAACTGGTGTGGCGTATTAACATCGCCACTGGGGAGACAAAGGCGGCCGGGCGTGGTGGATACAAGTCCCGGGCAAAGCCGGGTCATGACTATGTGTGTATGTGTTTATGTGTATGTCTGTGTGTCTGTATGTATGTGTGTATGTATGTGTCTGTATGTGTTTGTGTGTATGTATGTGTGTGTCTGTATGTATGTGTGTGTGTATTGTGTATGTGTTTGTGTGTATGTATGTGTGTGTTTGTATGTATGTGTATGTTTGTGTGTATGCATGTGTGTGTATGTGTTTGTGTGTATGTGCGGTTATGTATGTGTGTGTATGTGTGTGTCTGCAGCAAGCGCGTGTATGTGTACCTATGGACGCGCGCGCGTGTGTTGTGTAGGGGGAACGGTAGTGTAGTGCTTAGCGTACTGCCTGTGTCTATGTGTGTGTGTGTGTGTCTGTGTGTGTGTCTGTGTGTGTGTGTCTGTGTGTGTGTGTCTGTGTGTGTGTGTCTGTGTGTGTGTGTCTGTGTGTGTGTGTCTGTGTGTGTGCGTGTGTGGTGTGTAGGAGGAACGGTAGTGTAGTGCTTAGCGTGCTGCCTGTGTGTGTCTGTGTGTGTGTGTGTCTGTGTGTCTGTGTGTCTGTGTGTGTGTCTGTGTGTGTGTCTGTGTGTGTGCGTGTGTGGTGTGTGGGGAGCGGTAGTGTAGTGGTTAGCGTGCTGTCTGTGTGTCTGTGTGTGTGTGTCTGTCTGTGTGTGTGTTCTGTGTGTGTGTCTGCGTGTGTGGTGTGTGGGGAGCGGTAGTGTAGTGGTTAGCGTGCTGTCTTTGTGTCTGTCTGTGTCTGTCTGTGTGTTTCTGCGTGTGTCTGTGTGTGTGTGCGTCTGTGTGTGTGAGGAGCGGTGGGTGTAGTGGTTAACGCTACGCTGCGCTACCAACCCGGCGAACCGAGTTAGATTCCCGCTCATGGCCACCACCGATCAAGATTATTTGAACCTCACATAGGTCGACTCAGCCTCAAACGAGTAACTGGTGTGGCGTATTAACATCGCCACTGGGGAGACAAAGGCGGCCGGCCGTGGTGGATACAAGTCCCGGGCGAAGCCGGGTAGTACAGCTAGTAGAAATATATATGTATTGCTGTGTTTTCGCGACATTACTCTTCCCCGTATTGCTTTCATTTCTCAGTTTGAAAGCGGAATCGCTTGAGCATAAGCTTATTGAACTGAAAACATACCTGATACTGATTCCATCCCAAAGATGAGTGGCAATTGTCCAAACTGGTTATGATCTGGGCCTCCTCATTGCCAAAGATGAGTGGTGATTGTCAAAACCAGTGATTTTCCAGGCCTCTTCATTGGCACAGATGAGTGGTTGTTATCCAAACTGTGATTAGCTGGGCCTCCTCTAGATCAATTCAGTCTCAAATGAATACCTGGTGCAATGTGTAAAAATCAATTTCTGGGGAGATAAAGACAGTCGTGTGTGACGCTGGCCTCAAATACTCCCGTTGCATTGAGTTTGGCCTTTGAAGTGTGCCTACCAGGGCCTCGTTTATTTAATCTTCAATGCTTACAATTGTACCCAGGTGAATCAGTATATCTATAAATATGAACAAGATTTTACATAAAAAATGTTGTCATGTAATTCTATCTATTTTATAATAATAAGTTCCATATTGTGGTGTAGTGATAAGGCCCATGCGTGATAAAGTACGATCAAGGATTGTGAATGAGAACGTTAAGTTATGTGTACACGAAATCCATTCAGAATACAGCACAATCTGTATTTGTATACCGTTCAATGATCATTATTCATTTTCTGCTCTCCTTCCCAGGAAAGCATCAAAACTCCTTTCCAGGAGGTTTCTGCCAGGACTTGTGCCTTACGGCAAGAAGCACTTGAGTTCGATTCCCGACTCGGGCACCTTTCTGCATGCAGTTGATGTGTTCTACCCCTGCTCTGCATGGGTTTTCACCAGGTTTCTCTAGTTTCTTACCAACAAAAAAAAAGTTACTTCTATTAGTCAAATATCACAATTCTGTAAAAAAAAGTCACCTGGCAGGAACCTCCTGAAAATGAGTTTTGAGGCTTTCCTGGGAAGGAGAGCAGAAAATAAATAAAGATAATTGAACTGTATACAACTATAGATTGTGCTGTGTATGCGTGATGAAAATTGTTCAAGCTCGCTGGCAAGTCTGGGAAACCGCGTTGTTTATAATCGACGAGTTTAAGAAGAGTTATTTGATACCTTTACAGGTGACCATATGGATTCACATGTTATCGCAGTTATTGTATATTGGCAGATTCCTACGACGAGATTTTTCACCGGCGACTATCATGCGCGGCCAAATTTCACACGTTCAGACATCACCTCACGTATCCCTCGGGGGAGGACGGGGGGATGAGGGAGTCACTGGAAGGTATCCGTGTGGCCTCGCAACCCTGTCGCCACCACGCCGCCGTCATGGAGACATTTTAGTCGGCGCTTATCGGGTTGAAGACGGCTGTGGTTGTGCAGATGGCGATCGCAAGGAGCCGTTTGAACGGGCCGTTGCGTTTTTTAATAAATACTTTTTTTTTATCAAATTGACCCGCAAAGACGGGACCACCGGATATGAAGCCACGGGAGCAGATGGAAACTTCTGATCAGAGAGACTCGGCGCGAGGGGATCTTAACAAGAGCAACTGCAGGGGTAGGTGGGTGAAAGATCAGAAGAGGTGGAGGGGATCAAACTCGCGTTGAGGGCACGTCTGTAGATCCACGTGAAGACCCAGCAGAACGGGCCCATGATTGTCGTCGTCATTCCATCCTCGAGATCGAGAGACGGGAAGAGCGCTGACCACTGCGCCACCGCTCCACCCCTCGGTATCAAGATTCGAGGTGAAAGATCAAGATGACATCGGCATGGCCAAATCCGTTGATACCATCACACTTTCTTGGCAACGCTTCCAATACCCGCCGCCATATCCGGCAGCTGTTGCCAACTAGAGACGCAACCTCCAAGGTGTATCCTGACAGTCTCCCACCATCTGCTCCTCGACAGACTCGCACAGAGACCCACAGACTCCCAAAGTGGCCCAATTACCCAACACGGCGACCTACAGATTCACACAAAGACCCACAGACTCAGAGACCCACAGATCTGTCCTCACAGTCTCCCACTATCTGCTCTTGAATAGACTCGCACAGAGACCCACATACTCCCAAAGTGGCCCAATTACCCAAAACGGCAACCTACATATTCACACAAAGACCCACAGATTCACACAGAGACCCACAGATCTGTCCTCACGGTCTCCCACTATCTGCTGTTAGATTGACTTACACAGAGACCCACAGACGCACAGAAAAACTCACACAGAGACTCATAGATGTGCCCTGGCAGTCTCCCACCGTCTGTTCCTCGACTGCTTGCCTCGGCAATCGGCCCTCACCTTGGTCTGCAGATTCGCCTGCTAATTCGTGTTGGCACGGCTCACGTGCTGGGCAGAGAGTCACGGTTGTGTTTGCAATCACACGTTCTGTGTGTGTGTGTTTGCGATCCAAACCAAACCACACAAACTCATTTGTTCACGTGTCAAATTTACTGAGTGGTCAAGCAGTAGACATATCGATGAAGGTTACATATCGATGCTTAGCTTTAGCATTACCGTATTCTCTGGTTTATCAGGACACACTTTCTCCCCCGTGTCTTTCAAAGCAAATATTTGTGTGTGTCTCAGTAATGTGGTAGGTGTGTGTGGGTGAGACCAGATTAATCAGTATTGTTATTATTCGGCTTGTATGCCGAAAAAGGCCTCACTGAGTCTCACTACTCTCTTTTCAGGAGGGACCTGCCAAGTTTTCGCGATCGGGGGAGGGGGATGGTGCGATGGTTGCGCTGTGTAATTCAATTTCGAGTCATTTGCGGTGTAATGTTTCAAAACGTGGCAAATTTGGGCCGTGACCTTGGCACACAACGGCCTACGCTTGCGGATAACGTCACGGGATCTTGAACTTGCATCGTGTGTGAAGCCGACGGTGCGTAGTATATATATTGTTATAATTGATAAACACACAATGCAGCATTAACCGGGGCGACCGCTGGATTCGAACCGACAACCAAGCACCAGCGCGTGATGCGTCACACTTTCGGGGGCCTGTTATACTCCGGAGAATACGGTAACATGTAAATGCATGATGTCCCGCACTTCAGGTTAGATTAACAAGCATTGCAAAGTGTTATAGTCAATTACGAAGCATGACAAAAGTTATTAGCAACAAGCTTAGCACACTGACACCATGATATGTAATGATTTTAGGCATCAACGTCGTATTCAGTGCTGAAACATACACAATGAATATATAATTCAAACAATATATCATCTGTGGGAGAAAAAAAAACTCAATATACACACATTATCTGTACGTGTCATCTGCAAACGGTATTATTCATTATTATTGCAATTATACAAAAATAGACGATTTAATCGTAGATACGAATATTTATTTCACAGGATGTGAGCTGTAATGCGGTGCTGCGTATAATGCACTGAGTGAGTCGGATGCATCTGACTCATGGTTGTGACCAAGAACGTCAGCTGGCGGGTGGCGCGTATGTGCGTTGAACTTCATTCGCACCAACGCAGTAAACCAACCACCGTGCCAGCCGGAGGTGCGCAGATGAATTCAACACCCAGCAAAGTGCAACCCCGTGACATTGGACATCAACGGAGCAACACATTTAGTGCCATTGTCCTCACCTGGGCTCAAACATTTGTTTGAACGCAACAGACCACACTGCTACACTCACAATTAACAATCACACGCCATTGTTATTAATATGATTATTGCGACATCACGCCATTATTACCGCCTTGCAACATTTCCCGTGGAGATGCTCAGGGCTCTACCGTAGGACCACCGTTGTCCAACCTTGACATGAAACCCCACTGCAATCCTGAGAACAGTCCTTGGACTGTAACGCTGCAACGTCAAATAATATGCAGACGAAACTCGGCAGAGGCCGTCCCCCGGAGGGGTTACGGCAGATCGGGGTGACTGCCCCGGGCCCCGCGCTTTGGGGGGGGGGGGGCTGTGCTTCGACGTCACGGTGTCAGATGTAACGCTTGTGGTTTAGTTTGAAGGTTCGGGGTAGTCCACACGGTGTGAGTTGCCCCAGGTGCCGCACCCCCCCCTCCCCCCCACTCTGGACGTTCCTGACACCAGGATCCACTGATTATAACCATATCGATACACTCAGCTCGGAATGCTATCAAAACATAACCATTTAAAAAAAATCTCCAAAATTGAACGTGCAAAGAAATGAACTCTTACTAAGAGACACCAAACGGATGGGACTAGGTAAACGTCTGTACTTGACAGCACCTCTTGTGACTCCAACCAACCAACAAGCTGCAGCAGCCGCTGGTGGGCAGGCCGCGGCAAATCCTACAGGCAACCATAATCCCACAACAATAGACAGCGAAAATGTACAAGTGACGGTGCCAGGGCCACAGTGCTTGTGCCAAGCTGGGTGCACTTTTTTAAGGCCGTGTGAAATGCCGGAGGCTCACTCGCTGGCACGTCACGGGACAGTCCCAGGTGCCAAGGGTTAACTGAGATGACTGGCAGATGCACCACCTGTGCTCCCTACTGGAGGGCGACTGCCTCCAACTGCCTAGGAGCATCCCCATAACGAGGCTCCTGCTCCACAGAGGCCGATACATTGACACCGCTGGTGTCAGTCGTCGGCAAGTCCTACTTGCTCCACATCCTACCCATACTACATCAGTCCATCTCGTCTCTAGCCCGCGCCGTGCCCTCTACGCCACCTCTATTCGACCAAACAGAAGCTGCTGTGGGCATGCGGTGGCTTGGTTCAGAGACAACTGGCTGTCTAAACCTCACAAAGACAAAGATCCCCTGTATAGCCTTAACAGACTGTCGGGGCAAGTGGTGTTAGTGAGCACCTATGAAGGCCGGCATGGCACACGAGGTGGTGGGTGGCCTTGTGTCACCCGAGTGGCAATGTTTACACACCGCGCCAGGTGCTCATTTGAGGCCGAGTCGACCTCGGGGAGGCCCAGGTGCGGTTCAGATCATCGTCACTGGTGTTGGCCGTGAGCGGGAATCGAACCCGGGCCCGCGGGTTCTAAGCCTCGAAGGCAAAGACACACGCGCGCGAACTACATGGAGATAATTTTGTCCCATGCGTCATATCGTTTTGCGTCGAAACTAGGACCAATATCAAACACAGAGGACCCTTGCCTAGAAACACGTGGCACTTCACCAGCATTTGTGCAAGCAAGCCCGACTGCCCGTGAGCCAAGAGAATGTCAAAAGCAGTCATTGCCTCTAAATATCTGGCAGCACAGCAGCATTGGTTCAAGCAAGCGCGACTGCTGATGGAGACACTCGGATTCCGAAACTGGTGCGGAGTTTTGCTTGCAGTTGAACCAATGCAGACGACATTCCTGACACGCCCGGGAGGGAGACCCGTGTGGCCCATGTGGGTTTGCGTCACAACAACAAAGCAAATGGTATTTATTTTTTTATGTTTTTTTTTATCTCTGGGTAGTCCCCCCTTCTCTTCAATGGCTCCGTCGCATTGGGATTGTTTTTGTCGCCAACGAAATCACCTGGCTGCACACTCTATGCACCGTGCCGTAAGAGGCCTGCGTTGTTGTTGTTGTTTACAATCAAAATGATTAATTTTAAACCTCGGGGTTAGAGGCATGCGTTGCGCGACGGAGCCCGCCCCATCCGTCCCCGTTCACATCGTGTAGCTCGCCGTGCTCTCCGACTCGGAGCCCACGGACGCTCCAAAGCTGCGCCCGCGAGCGCTGCGGTAATTGACGTGCTCGCTCAGCCACCGCTGGCTCACGCAGCCGGCGTCCCTGAGGATCTTGAGGGCGTTGTTGCGGAACTTGACCCCCACGAACACGTAGAGGATGGGGTTGAGGCAGCAGTGCGCGAAGCCGAGGCTCTCCGTCACCGAGATGCTCTTGTCGAGCCGCGCGTACAGGTCGCACGACGGGCTGACGAGGCCGGCCCGCGTGAGCGTGTCGACGAAGACGCTCACGTTGAAGGGCAGCCAGCACGCGAAGAAGGCCACGACTAGGGCGACGATGACACGCAGAGCCTTCTGCTTGGCGAAGCCGTGCGAGCGCGCGAGCGTCACCCCGATGCTCGTGTAGCAGAAGAGCATCACGCTGAGCGGCAGCAGGAAGCCGAGCGTGTGGTGCAGCATGCGGATCGAGAAGCGCCACCGGTCAGCCTGCTCCGGCGAGTAGTTTTGCACGCACTCGGTCGAGTTGAGTTGCTGTGCGGACATTGCAGGGGTGGGGGACATGATGATGATGTGAATCAATCACGTGAAAAGTGGGGGAGTGGTAGTTTTCATACGCCACGTATGTACACACAATTAAAATCGACTTGAAAAAACATTTTGATTTAAAGCTTTCGTAACTGTAGGGATTCATCTTCTTGGTTCTTTCGGTAAAGTCACGTCGAAGGGAAGTAATAAAATAAAAAAAATAAAAAACATAATTAAATAATATAATAATAATAGAATACTAGAATATTGTATTATGTTTTATTTTTATTATTTTATTACTTCCCTTCTACGTGACTTTACAGAAAGAACCAAAAAGTTGAAAAAACATGTGAATGCACAGCCGCAGGAATAACCAGGGCGGGCCGCTGGATTCGAACCGCGAACCTCTCTGCAATGAACAGCGCTATCGCCGCCGGGGCCACGCGACCGCCACAATAAACACTCAGAGAAAGATGATGACGACGACGACGATGATGATGATGATACGCACACACATCACACAGTGAGGTATGCATGCACATACCGGCACGTCGTGGGGCGGGGGGGAGTCACAGGTGCACACATATCACTTTAAGATGTTTTTTTGTTCATGTTTTTTTGCGGTTGCACCCGATTCAAGAGCCGAATGGCTCACAGGGTTATACCAAATACATGAAACTGAAATGAAACTGAAAATATACTAATAATTGTAACTCGTAACGCACCGTCGCCGCATGGTACTCGCTCACTTTCTAAGAGAGAGAGGGGACGGCTCGAGAGGCGCCGGGAGGTGGAACCTGAGAGAAAGCGGGGAAAGGCAGCAGCGGCCACGCGGGAAGCCGGCTCCAAATCCCCCTTCCCCAAGCTCTGCGGTCCTATATATATATTAGAGGTGGCATCGGCTAATTAATGGGTTTGTGGAAGGAAACCGGAGCACCCGGAGAAAGAAACCGACGCGTGCAAGGGAGAAACGCTCGATCCCACACAGATGGCATGGGTGGTGGTCGGTGCGGTGCAGGGGGGGGGGGTGTCCGCATTTTAGCTGTTCCGCATTCTCCTCCACGACACCCACACGAAGGGCAGCTTCGCAACATTGGCGTGTGGCAATCCGCCGACCCCTCGCTGCAGACGACAGCCGGCCACGCTGCACCGTGGCCGTCTGTCGTCTGCGTGTCTGCGTTGCTGCAAGCGCGACGGGGTGTGGGCAACGTACCGGCACGAACACCTGCTGGCTGTACACGATGTCCGGTATCGTGAGCAGGAAGGAAACGAGCCACACGACGCCGCAGATGAGCTGCACGCGCTCGGCCCGGCGGCACCAGTGCGTCTTGACGGCGTGCACGATGGCCAGGTAGCGGTCCACGCTGATGCATCCGAGCAGGAAGATGCTGCTGTAGAAGTTGACGCTCGTGACGCCGTAGATGAGGCGGCACGCGTCGTTGCCGAACGTCCACTGGGAGGCGCGGTACGTGGCCCAGAAGGGGAGGGTGGCGACGAAGAGGAGGTCGGCCACTGCCAGGTGTAGCATGTAGGTGTCGGCCGCCACCATGGCCCTGCGGAAGCGCGCGAGCACCACCACGACGAGGAGGTTGCCCGCGCAGCCGAAGGCGAACACCAGCGAGTAGACGACGGGCAGAAAGACCTTGTTGAATCGTCGGATGTCGCTCAGCTTGCACGGGTGCGGGCAGCACGTGCCGACGTTTTCGAAGTAGCCCGTGTTGTTCCCGTAGCTGCTCTCGTTGTCCGAGTACACGTCGAAGTCGCCGAATTCGTCGACGAAATCGAATATTTGGTGCCTGTCCATGTCCTGCGAAAATATTGGTTTTGGTTTGCGGAGAGCGTCAAAGAGCTACCTCGGGAGTTCCCTCGAATGTCCTTCCTGGTCCACACGCGCTCCGCGACAGACGCGTCGATAAGGTCGATCAAAGCGGATTAAACCAACGGGGGGGGGGGGTGCGAGGGAGGGTTTGTGTGGGGGGGGGGGCGTGGGGGGAGGGGGGGGCATGGTTTTGATTGGTGGGAGGCCACCAGAGCATTGCGAACCACCCGTCCTGTTGTTTAACGTTCGAGGAGGCTGAGAGCGCGCCCTTGCTCGAAGCGAACTACTTCACAAATACACAAACATCTCCACGCCGTGCGTAAACAACACTGCGTGCAGTGGCCTGAAAAGTAAAACAACATACGACGTTTCGGGCAATGGCCCTTCTTCGTAGCACATCACTGTTAAAACGTTGGGTGGGGCAGGGGCGTGATTTCGAGTAGCGACGAACTTTCCCAGCTGATTTGCTGTTGCAAGATCAGCTTTCTTGTCACCGACATCGCCGATTATGCTGATGGTAATTCATCGTTACGCAACATAACGTTGTGAGTGGGACTCGACTGGTGTTATGGCTAGCGGTGTCATCGACGGTGTACAGAGGTGAAACTTGGCACACATTTCATCGAGGATATGCTTAGACCACGTCCGTAGTCGCAGGGCTGCGTTGGCCCAACGAATACAATTACAAAGATCGCACTCATTACACACACGAAGCGCTCGCCACAAACGAAGCGCCAATACCTTGCGCTTCTGCGGCCGTCTGGAACGCTCTTCCCATATTAGGAAGTCACTGAAGCTAAGCATTTAAAACTCGATAATTGTTTTTTTACCCTTTTATCTGGCAACAAAACTGACACCTTTTTTTTTACAAGGAGTCATGTTTGCATTGACCACAATGCCTGCAGTCGGAATGCAAACAAAAAACATAACTCTGATAATGTATGCACTGTCCTTGAAATTGATTGGTCCACACCCGAGACAGCTTTCTTTAGAGCCTCGTCTCACATGGTGTTGGTCCAACTGCAGGTATTGTGGTCAATGCAAACATGACTCCTTGTAAAAAGGTGTCAGTTTTGTTGCCAGATAAAAGGATAAAAACCAATTATCATATTTTGCTACTGGCAAATGAGGTTCCAATGGCATTTAAAACTCAATTCTTTAGAAGTGCTTTTTGTGTTTGGTTTGTTGTCCTTCCCCCGCACCTCCGGTTAGCACGTTAGGGTGCGTATGGTGCGAAATAAGTTGAATGTGCACACATTGAGAGAGGCCGCAAAAGCTTGAGATATTCAACATACATATAACAACCGTATAACAAGCATCAGCATTATATTAGACACTGGGTGAACTTTGCCTAACCACATATCTCAAAATAAGTATAATATAAAAAAAACTTTTTTTAAACACTCTTTAATGAAATGTATCGTACTAGCAATGGAAGAACTCCACGACTCCAGGAAGTGGCCCCGAGGCTTGCCATAACGTAAGGGACCGTGGGCTATTACAGCCAACGTCAGTTGTGCGTGGACAATTAGACCCAAGCCGAAACATAACATGTAAATTTTTTTTTTTAATATTTTTATTTTTAATAATATAGTATTGTCATCAGTGTGACATAAGTATACCAAGTTTGCAGTCGATACCACATTGGGAAGTGGGTTAAAATTGAGTTGCAAGATTTGAGGATACAACAACAGACAGCGTTAATAAAAAGCGTATAATAATAAAAAAAAGCGTGTAAACACAAAACCACACACTACCATCTGCGCAATATATTGACATTTAAACGAGCTCCCTCCTCTTGCTTGCTGTCATAACTTCCTGTCCAGATGACGACAATTATGTCCACGTTGGTTTACTCAAAACACAGCCACAATGCCTGGGGCGCTGCGGTGGCAAGATGTTAACTATCTCGCCTGGTATACAGGTGGTCGCGGGTTCGACCCCGACCCCGACCCCGACCCCTGACCCTGACCCCGACCCCTGACCCCGACCCCGACCCCTGACCCCTGACCCCGACCCCGACCCCTGACCCCTGACCCCGACCCCGACCCCCGACCCCGACCCCTGACCCCGACCCCGACCCCTGACCCCGACCCCTGACCCCGACCCCCGACCCCGACCCCCGACCCCGACCCCCGACCCTGACCCTAACCCCGACCCTGACCCTAACCCCAACCCTGACCCCGACCCTGTATATTTGTAGTTCTTTGCATGTTCTGCCCGTGGTCGTGTACATCTTTCTCCCGGTTTTTCGTGTTTTAAATTTTTTCCCTCCACATTTAGAATCAACGTGCGTTTAGAATATTAGCCTGCTAAACATGTCCACATGATAAGCCGCTTCGTTGAGCCATCATTTGGAGCCATGTCGCTTCTGAAAAGGAGCTGTATAGCTCAGTGGGCCTTGCCCGGTAAAATAAAAAATATTCATAATGAAGGTTTTTTGGGTTAGATCGCGGGAAGTATAAATGTGTCGTAACCTTCCACCACCCGACACAGCCAGTAAGGTTTGTCACGTAAACAACGCGCCAATTAGTTACTAATTCAGCCCACCGGTCTGTTGGAGAGTAAATCCACAACATTTACAATTTGAATACGACGTTTCGCTGGTAATTACATCCAGCATTTTAGGGCGATTTGCCGGAATAGTGAAGCGATCCACCTGCTTCCGGTCTTAAATAATTCAGGACGACGTCATCACTGAACCCAATCAGGTGCAGAGATCAGGCGGCGGGGTGGGGGGTGGGGGTATTGTAATTATATAATAGATTCGTAATCAAACCTTGACTTAAAGCTTTCGTGACTGGAGCAATTGATATTCTTGAATCTTTCGGTAAAGTCACGTAGATAGGTTCAAAGAAAATAAAAAATATAAACTACGACGTTTCATCACAACACAAGCAATCGTCATCAGCAGGAAACATAACGGGAAAGCTGCTGAGGCAGGATGTTTTAAAGGTTTGAAATGGTTGTAGCCCAAGGGTCATAGGCGAAGTGGACGGGGCTAGTGATGTTAAAGCGAGAAATTTGCATGTCAATGTAAGATCGTAGAGCAGCCGCCACATCGAGAAAAAACGAGCAACGGTGGCTGTGTTAGCGAGATACATTTCACCTGCTAATTTAAAGACATTTAACCTGTTAATGTAAAACCAGAGAGTTGAAAATAACTACTAACATCGGAAAGTAGGATGGAAACATCACAGCCAGTTATGACTTAAACCGGTTAATAACATCCTTCCAATGATTGTTCAAGTTTGTACCCATCTTCTCGGTTGAGATTGTGTCTGTGTCTATATATATGTGGATGGCTTCATGAACGAATCTTTGTTGATAGCCAGTGTTGGAGTTAAATAAATGTGTAGCCTCCAAGTCTACGTCTGCGACTCTGTCGAACTCACTACATATATATTGTATGATACTCAACAAAGATAGTCCCATAATCAATGTTGAATTTTTTTTCGTATAATGCTTCGCAAAATTTGTTCCAAATGGCACTCTATTCAATTTTGGCATTTCATAACGCCCAGACCTTAAGACATTTTAGCTCGGTCCAAAAGAAAAGCACAATGAGCATTTCTCGAAAAGTATATTTAGTACGCGATTATGTAGTGTATATTTTAACGGATCACAAAATTAAAAGCTGGTCTCATACGAATACAGCACATCATGCACAGTATACCGTTTACCCGGAGAATGCACATGTTATGTATGTTGAACATAAAACAGCATTCAATTATAGCAATACTTTACTTTCATTTTATATACCGTCATTCATGCTAAAGGCATCCCATAACGTTGTACATGAATTATATATAAGGACCAAATCCTATATATTAGCTACTACCAAGGAAATAAAAACCCTACTACCAAGCGAATTTCATAATATAATAATAATTAACAGTTAAAAAAACAGAGACATGGCACCAAAACAGAAGGCACTAAAACAGAGTCCACTCAACCCACATTCCAGAATACGTATCAAATAAGAGATTCCGTGAATGCAAGTCATTACATTTCTCGGTACGTCTGGTTGGTGACATCGGCACTCAAGTGAGTGTGAGCGAGCGAACGAATTGGGGGGGGGGGGGGTCTACGAGACAACAACTCTTACCAAGTCATCCAAACTCGTCATCTCTTCTTGCCCACCGCTCCTCCCAGACAGTTCGCAGCTGTGTACCTGGCTGGCCTGAGCTGCCACTGCCGGACACAGCTTGCCCCAGTCCACCCTTTGCGATGTTTCAAATAATTATTTAACCCTTGACCAAACCCCCTCTCCAAACCGGGGGCATGAATCAGCACACGGGAGCGAGGAAACGCCAAAAGACGTCTGCTTCTCTAAAACGAGCAGCAACAACAACAAGATAAACCCACAGACAAAGATCACCCGAATAGCCTGCAACGCTTGTGGGGGACAAGGGCTGTTGCGTACACTTATGAAGGTGCCAGAGCGGCGCACGAATGGGGTGGTGTGCCTCACACAACGCCCGGGCTGCTTTATCTCCCCGGTTGTGATTGTGTGTTTTTGCACACCGCGATCGGGTGCCCATATAAAGTCCGAGGCGGCCGAGGGGTGGTCAAATCGGTTCGAATATTCACCACCGATATTCAGCCGTGAGCGGGAATCGAACTCGGGTCGCCGGATGCGCGCACGGGAACCGCTGCATTCAATCTCTCCCCACTCGAAAGCAACGACCACAAAAGACTAACAAAGACAAAGATTTTTCGATTTAAAGCTTTCGTGACTGCAGGGATTCATCTTCTTGGTTCTTTCGGTAAAGTCACGTAGAAGGAAAATAATAACATGATATTTTATTATTTTCCTTCTACGTGACTTAATAAAATAATATTTTATTATTTTCCTTCTACGTGACTTTACCGAATAGCCTGAACAGACTGCTGGGGCTAAAGTGCTGTTAGCGAGCACAAAGATAAAGATCCCCCGTATAGCCTTAACAGACTGTAGGGGCAAGTGCTGTTAGCGAGCACCTATGAATAAAAGGGAGGAATCTTGAAAGGTGCCGAGTCTTACTGCGCAGCGTGGACAATGCGAAATGACAGATTCAACGGCTTTGGCCCACCACTATGACGACGGTGATGATGATCCGATATGTATGTATGTTGAACTGTAAAATGTCGTGAGTTCACTCTCCAACGCGCCGGTGGCATTTTTTAGCCACGAGGAGAGAGGACATACAAACCCCAAACATACAGCAGGCGAAAAGGGTCGGGCTCGAACCCATGAACCCTCCTGCATACCAGGCGAGGTAGTTAGCGTCTCGCCACCGTGGCGGCCAACGTACGAGTGAAGACGTTGATAATTGTTTTTTTACCCTTCTATCTGGCAACAAAACTAACACCTTTTTTACAAGGAGTCATGTTTGCATTGACCACAATACCTGCAGTTGGACCAACACCATGTGAGACGAGGCTTACCCCGAGCTCTCATACTCTGATAGTGCATTGACTTTGAGTTGTGCGCCGTTTGGCGTCATCTGGTCCAACCCATGTGAGACTAGGTTCTAAGGAAAGCTGTCTCGGGTGTGGACCAATCAACTTCAAGGACAGTGCATACATTATCAGAGTTATGTTTTTTGTTTGCATTATGACTGCAGGTATTGTGGTCTATGCAAACACGACTCCTTGTAAAAAAAGGTGTTAGTTTTGCTGCCAGATAGAAGGGTAAAAAAACAATTATCATATTTTTTACTGGCAAATGAGGTTCCAATGGTGAGTGAAGAAGATTCGACCTTGGCATCAGCGTGCGTTCCAGTGTCATCTCGTGCGGCCACTTCGCCCCTCTCTGCCAGGAGGCCCCCGTTTGCTGTTCGACCAAGTGACCGAGGCGCGTGTGCATTTCGATAACGTGGGGGCAGGAGAAAGGTTTTTTTTTTTAGTTCTAATCGGTTCTTCGGCTGAGCGAACATGTGCCCCGGCCACTGATTTTGGAGTCGATTGGATTTGTTTTAATCACAATATATGTGGGTTCTGGATGTGGCGCTTGCGGCTCACGTGCTTAGTCACAGATTAGATCATCTGGTAAAGCGTGGTGGAGTGTACTGCATAGATGGTTGGTTCACGTAACGTTTGTTCATTATGCACCACTGGTAACGTAATATTACGAAAGAGTGTTTCATATATATGGTGTGTGTGTGTGCGCGCGCCTTTGTGGCAGTGACACTGCCAGCCGGTTGTGCAACCCGTTGCAGACGTTCACGCGGTTCGAATCCAGCGGCCGCCCTGATTAATACCACTTTGTGATATGAACCTGTTTGCACTCACAGTGGACATTATAAGTCCCCGTTACTTCATCCAAAAGCGTAGGTCATTGTGTGGCGGCGTCGCGGTCCAAATTTTTCCACGCGGTGCTGCTTGAAATGCTTACACCACAAATGAATCCGTTTTAATCTACATGCATCGCAACCATTGCACCCCCCTCCACCCCGTCTACTGCAAAGGCTTGACAGGAATCTCCTGAAAGTGAGCCATGAGACTCAGTGAGGCTTTCCGGGGTGAACAAGCAGAATAATAATACATATATTTATGAATAATAATGAATATAGTGGTGCAGTGGCCAGGGTGTGATTTGAGAGACGAAGCCTTCCCCATTTTTTAAAGACGCATTTTCTTTATTTTCAAAATATCTTTGGGGAACATGGTATTCATGTTCTAGATAGTTGAAATAGGCTCGTTTTGATTGGATAACTTGTCTGGCCTCTAAACGATGACAGACCGCAATAGTTGACTGCACATTCGAAGAAGACAATTATTTTTTTTTATTTCTTGTAACATTTGCATCAATGTATAAATGAATCAAATATGTAACATTTTCTTAATTGCCGAGATCCAGTCCGTCCGAGACCATCCCTCTCCCTGTCATACTGGCATCACCCTTCGTCCTGCTGATCGTGGGGCCCACAGGACTCCACCACGTAGCCATGCCAGGCTGGGCCCCACCTGGCTCCAGGGGTGTGTCCCGGTATTCCTTGTCCCGGCGAGTTTCTCTGATTTGTTTTATTATTATTATTACACGCTTTTATTTAACTCACTCTGTCTGTTGTTGTTGTATCCTCAAATCTTGTAACTCCATTTAAACCCACTTCCCAATGTGGTATCGACTGCAAACTTGGTATACTTATGTCATACTGATGACAATACTATATTCTATCATAAAAAAATAAAAACACATATTTTTAAACATTAATTTTTATAAATTATGTTTCGGCTTGGGTTTAATTGTCCACGCTCAACTGACGTTGGCTGTAATTGGCCACGGTTCCTTACGTTCTGGCAAGCCTCGGGCCACTTCGTGGAGTCGTGGAGTTCTGCCATTACTCGTACGGTGTTTAAAAAAGATTTTTTTATATACTGTATTGCTTTTATATTTCAGAACCATTCGTAAGGAGGCTTTTGTTTTGACCGTTACTTGTCTGGAACCTCCCCCCAGACCCGTTCAACCAAGCGAGACCCTGCCAGTAGTACAAGACTCCAGGCGGCATCGCTCTGGGCGTCATTGAAGCGCACAAACTCCACCACCACGATGAGGCTACGATCCTTCGTTGGGATCACACTCCTCAGCGTCCCAGGTAAAGCCGATGCCAGAGTTTTAGATTTGAAGCTTTCGTGACTGCAAGGATTCATACTCTTATGTTTTTTCGGTAAAGTCACGTAGGTAAAAAAAAAATAATGATGAATGAAAATAACTCAATTAAATCACGACGTTTCGGAGGCAACACAAGTCTCCGTCTTCAGGTGGGACCATCACAGCTAAATTGACTGTATCAAGTGAAGAGAAATCCAAGAGACAAGATCTTAAATACAGGTTAAGGGGAGGGGGAGGAACTTATCTAAATCAGAGGTCGCAACCGGGTACCCGATACCCGTACCCTACCCGATACGTTTGCGACCCTGGTGTGGCCGGGTACGGGTAGGCCGTGAGTCACTGGTGAGTAACCGTTTATCACTCATTTCGGGTAGGGTACGGGTACGGGTAGGGAACGGCTACCCGTACCCGGCCGGGTACGGGTACCCATTTGCGACCCTGGTGCGGCCGGGTACGGGTAAGGAATCAAAACCCGTTTGCGACCTCTGATCTAAATGTGGCAGTCAGGGACTGGCAGTCCCCTTAACCAGTATTTCAGATCTTGTCTCTTGGATTTCTCTTCACTTGATACAGTCAATTTAGCTGTGACGGTCCCACCTGAAGACGGAGACTTGTGTTGCCTCCGAAACGTCGTGATTTAATTGAGTCATTTTCATCTATTATTATTTCATTATTATTATTTTTACCTACGTGACTTTACCGAAACAACCTCAGAGTACGATGCCAGAGTGCTGGAGAGGAAGCTATGCCCGGTGGGGAGGAACAATGACGGATGCCGTCAGGGTCGTGGAGTAATGGACCGGCTCTTTTATCTCTCACGGATATTGGAGGGGGTCATGGGAGTGCGCTTCTCCAGTCTACCGCTGCTTTGTAGGCTTGGAGACGGCGTATGACCGTGTTCCCCGCAATGTCTTGTGGGAGGTCCCACTTATGTTCCCGGAGCGAGAGTTGTGTCCGTATTCTTGGTGTTAAATCAAAGTCGTTCACTGCTGGTGTTGGTCTCCACCAAGGGTGCGTCTTGTATCCACTCCTGTTTGTGAAGTTCATGGGCAGGATATCAAGGCTCAGCCGAGGTATGGAGAGTATCCGGTACAAGGGCATGGAGGTGGGTGGCGTCGCTGATTTTTAAATCCTTTATATTAAGTTCGCTTGCTTGCTTGCTTGCGTGCTTGCTTGCTTGCTTACGACCGTGCAAACCTTTTGGTCGTTTTTAACCCACTTCCCGTGATCCAATCGAGCTGACATTTTGCACACAGACTCGTTGTGCGAGACAATTAATGTTCGTGAAAAAAATTGTCCAAAATTTTACACTGTTTAGGGAAAACAAATTAAATATTTAATTACCAATTGTTTAATACTGCAGACAATCATCTGACCCATAGGTGGCAGCCATCTCAAGCCAAAGGACGAGAGGACTCTAGCCGCCACGCATATAAAGGATTTAGAGTGAAAAACTTTGTTTTTACGGTTAATACTTATTGCAGACGACGTTGTCCTCTTTGCCTCGTCAGTCTGTGATCTCCAGCGTGCACGAGAACGGGTTGAAGCCGACTGTGAAGTGGCTGGGATAAGAGAACGGCACCACGGAAGCGGATATCACAGAGCCACCTGCGAAATCCCAATTTCGGATGACTTCTTCGCCACA